TAAAATTTATTATGTTTCGTTTTTTTTTGTCAACAATTTATTCTGTTTCTTTGTAGTAATTGTATTTAGAATTAGAATATCAATAAAATAAAGGGAGCTTTACTAAAACAACCTTACAAAATTGATTTTTGACCAAAATGATGCTATTCTTTGAAATTACTCAAACAACTTTGAAAAACTATTAATACCCGTTTTAGCCTTATTTTCTTTGAAAAGAAAAAACGTTTACGAAAATGCCACTAATGAGGCAGCGAATAAGACTACCGTTCATGTGATGGTATATTTATTTGCGATTGGTAGATTTATTAAGTGGTTGGTAGACTTATTTATAGTAGTGGTAGATTTATAATATGTGGTAGACTTATTTCTAGTAGTGGTAGAGTTAATTTTGTGATCGTTAGACTTACTGATTGTTCGCGCAATCGTAGACTTATTTATAGTAGTGGTAGATTTATAATATGTGGTAGACTTATTTCTCGTAGTGGTAGAGTTAATTTTGTGATCGGTAGAATTATTTCTAGTGGTGGTAGAATTAATTTTGTGATCGGTAGATTTATTGATGGTTCGCACAGTCGTAGATTTATCTATAGTAGTGGTAGATTTATTTTTGAGTGATAGACTTATTAGCAGTAGTGGTAGAGTTAATTTTGTGATCGGTATACTTATTGATGGTTCGCGCAATGGTAGACTTATTTATAGTGGTGGTAGATTTATAAAATGTGGTAGACTTATTTGTAGTAGTGGTAGAGTTAATTTTGTGATCAGTAGACTTATTGATGGTTCGCGCAATGGTAGACTTATTTATAGTGGTGGTAGATTTATAAAATGTGGTAGAGTTAATTTTGTGATTGGTAGACTTATTTCTAGTGGTGGTAGAGTTAATTTTGTGATCGGTAGACTTATTGATGATTCACGCCATCGTACACTTATTTACAGTAGTGGTAGATTTATTTTTGAGTGATAGACTTATTAGTAGCTGTGGTAGAGTTATTTTGTGATCGGTAGACTAATCGATGGTTCGCCCAATCGTAGACTTATTTATACTAGTGGTAGAGTTATAATATGTGGTAGACTTATTTACTGTAGTGGTAGATTTATTCAATCTTTTCACTTCTTTACTAAAATAACCTTGAGATGGTAGACTTGTTTATAGTAGTGGTAGATTTATTTATAGTAGTGGTAGATTTATAATATGTGGTAAACTTATTTATAGTCGTTGTAGTGGTAGATTTATAATATATGGTAGACTTATTTATAGTAGTGGTAGACTTATTTATAGTAGTGGTAGATTTATTCAATAAATGGTAAAATCGTAATTTACCTTTCATCTTCTCTACAAAACACCAAGTTTTTCTCAAATCCTAACAATGGCAGCCAACCATTTTTTAGCTCATTTTTACTGTATTTTAACTCATTTTCAACTAGATTTTACCTAAAACTAGTAGATTTAACATCATATATCTTTTTTCTAACACAAAATCAAAAGATTTTGAGTTTTTTTCCAACTTTTGATTTTTAATCCGATTTTTACCTAAATTCTGGCCTCCATACCTCCGCCGAGCACGATCCGGTGCTTCCGCAGCCTCCGCGGCCGTGGTTTCAAACAAATGTTTGATTTTTTTTTTTACAAATTATGAATGATATTTTCGTAATAAAAACTTGTTACTAATATTTATTTGTCTTTTATAACTTGTGTTGAATTTCAAAGTTGAATAAAAATTGTTCTAATAATTAACTTACTTTCCGAAGTTATTTTAATAATTATCTCTAAAATAAATATATGCTTTTGTCCATAACATCACTATTGGTGGACCCGAAACCCTGACTCAAATTCAACCAAAGAACCTGAGAATGGACCGAACGACATGCTTCAAAACTCAATGTATAAAGTTGTTTTCTTATTTTAGAAATTTGCCATTTTTTTAATAATTATCAACTGCGATATGTTATTGAACCGCTACAT